CCTAGGCATCATATCGGGCCTCACTGGAGCGGGTGGGAACTTCGGGTCCGGGCTGACCCAACTAGTGTTTTTCTCAAGCTCAGCATTCTCAACTGCGACAGGGTTGTCTCTGATGGGGGTAATGATCGTGTGCTGCACACTTCCAGTGACTTTGGTGCACTTCCCTCAGTGGGGGAGCATGTTCCTTCCGCCTTCAAAAGATGTCGTGAAATCGACGGAAGAGTTTTACTATGGAGCTGAGTGGAATGAGGAGGAGAAGCAAAAGGGGCTACACCAGCAGAGTTTGAGGTTTGCAGAGAATAGTAGGTCTGAGCGTGGTAGGCGTGTTGCCTCAGCTCCAACCCCACCCAACACCACACCTTCCCATGTTTAGGTTATGTTATGATCTCATCATATGATCATATATATGAGAATTATTTCTTTGAAATGCTTGGAAGCGTTTGCTTTCTTTATATATGAGGAAGCCTTCAACTTGTATGACTTATGCATGCATATATATATATATATGCATCAAACATGCGCTCAATTATTTTCCTTAAGTTGACCGAGAAGCTTACTTCTCTCTTGGGGAAGTTTTTTCCCAAGCATATGAGTGAACTGATGATTATTTTTATTTCAATGATTTAGATAATTTTCACCAGTTAGCTTGTACGGTCAGTTCCTAAATTTTGGGGAATAATCGGCAGTATGGTACTATATACATTATGGATGGGATTGGATTGTTAGATAGGGGACTTTTAATATAGACCCATTTCATGCTTAAAAATGTTGAAAAAAACCTTTGTGTTACACTTCTATAGAATAACTTATATTAATTATGTAATTTCGTTATATCAATTATATCAAAAAGAAGAAGATATTGATGATGTTAAAATTATAAAATAAAAAAACAATAATAAAAAAGGATATTGATTATGATGTCAATCCTATAATTAATGGGGGCGAAGGTGTTGTTTCACACGAGGATTGACGACGTTGGCACGGGGCTGCCTGGAACTTGAGTACTTGGATGTGTATGTATTAAGTATTACAAATGCATCTATGCTTTGGGACTCATTCTAAAAATCGTTGTGATCTATTGAAAATATTTTGGAAGATAGATTAGTTTTTGTATAGGTTAGGTTGTAGTCAACACTCTACCTAATTGGTGAGTTGTGATTACCACCTTTTCCTTGATTTAAGGTTTCCTTGTAATTAGTGTTCGGCCTTTACAACTTAATTTGTGGATAAAGTTTGTGGTGATGGTAAGGCATGTTGTTTGGTGGTTTCTTGCCCTCACTCAATCTCTCTATATATTTGAGTACTGTGTAAATCTCATCATGATGAAAAATACATACATTCATTGAAAATCAACATGATCTTTGACCTGTCTTGATTGACTGAGAAGAGACGATAACAGATTTACCACTTGACAATAGGGTTTGAGCTCTTTTGAGGGGGTTGTGAGAAGCTCAGAAGGTTTGCTTTATATCTTCGTCTTGGGGGCCGGTTGAGCAGTGTAGGGGTCGGTGAGAGAGTAAGATAGGGACACTTCTTTTTCAGCTGGCGCAGAACAACCCCTTGGATTTGCTTCGGAGATTTCAATGAGATAATTCAGGCCGATGAGAAATAGGGGGCCTCTCCCATAGTGAGAGACAAATGCGGGGCTTTAGAGAGGGGGTGGGCCTGTGTGGCTTGCATAACTTAGGTTTCTTGGGGTATAAGTTCATTTGGCAACATAATTATAAGGGAGAAAATTTGAGTACGATTGCACAGAGCACTAGCAAATGTGGAGTGGCGGAATAAGTTTTCACTTTCAAAGGTTCATTGCCTAAATCCTACTAAATCTGAACACTTGCCTATACTGATCCAGATTAGCGAGACAAGGGCTCACTGGCCGAGCAGAACAAAGCGGTTCCATTTTGAAGCTTTGTGGCGACACATGCAGAATGTGAAGAATGTTAGAATTCGTTGTTTTCAGTGTTTTGGATGTTTGGGAGGAAGGAAGAAATCACAAAAACCAGATGTAGAAGAGAACGTTGCTCTAAAAGAAAGCTGAAGATTCTTTCTATTTCATTCCACTGTTCATGTATATTCCTATGAGAGAGAGAGAAGAGAGCTGCTTCTCTAACTGATTTACATCAAAATTGAATCCTAGCCATTGCTTCTATCATCCTATGAGATGCTTACATTTGTCACTAGCCGGCACTAAAGTCTTAGGCTAGAAAGAGAGTCCACTTGGACTATGATCCAATGGCTCACATTACATCAGAAAATTAAAAACTTATAAAATGAAATCAAAACAGACTTTGTGACTTTGGCTTCAAGGTTTTCAGCTTAAGGGTTACACATCAACACTCCCTTCTAATCCTTTAGCTGATTTCACACCAAGTAATTCTCTTAGATACACAAATCGATCCTTAGACAGAGCCTTAGTTAATATATCTGCAATCTGATCTTCTGTTTTGCAGTAGATAAGCTCAATCTCCTTTGCTTGAATAGCTTCTCTAATGAAGTGAAACTTTCGACTGATATGTCTGGTTTTCTGGTGGAGAACTGGATTCTTTGCCATTGCTATGGCTAATGTGTTATCACACATGATTTGAGTTCCTTCAACTTGTTCTTCTCCAAAGTCCTCAAGTACGAACCTCAGCCATTTTGCTTGGGAAGTAGCTTCAGCAGCAGCAACATATTCTGCTTCCGCAGTGGACAATGCCACTGTGTTTTGCTTAATCGATGCCCATGAAAACACACCAGATCCTAAAGTAAATGCATACCCTGAAGTGCTCCTTATATCATCTTCACTTCCTGCCCAGTCACTATCACAGTAACCGATTAGAGTAGTTGTCTTCCCTCTTATAAATTCAATTCCAAAATCAAGTGTTCCTTGAATGTATCTCAGCACTCTCTTTGTTGTCCCCAGGTGTTTCTTGGTAGGATTATGCATGAACCTTGCCAAGAGACTTGCTGCAAACATCACATCAGGTCTAGTTGCTGTCAAATAGAGCAAGCTGCCCACAATCTGTCTATATTCTCCTTCATTTGCAGCTTCACTTCCATCAATCTTGCTCAATCTCTCATTCATTGCAAGTGGAGTAGCCACTGCTTTGCAATCTTTTAATCCAAACTTCTCAATCAACTTCTGTGCATACTTCTTTTGGTGTATAAAAATACTCTTCTCTGTTTGTAATATTCCCATTCCAAGAAAATGGTGTAATAATCCCAAATTTGTCATCTCATAATGCTTCATCATGTCTTTTCTAAATTCTTCAAGCATTTGTGGACTATTACCAGTGTATATAATATCATTTACATATAGGGAGACAATAATAATACCTGAATTCTCACTTGGTTTAACATACAAAGTTGCTTCACTTGAACTTTTCTTGAAACCAACACTGTTGAAATATGCATCAATTTCATCATACCAGGCCCTTGGTGCTTATTTCAATCCATACAGTGCCTTGTGTAGTTTATACACCTTTATTTCTTCATTTTCTATCACAAAACCTTGTGGTTGTTCAACATTCACTTCTTCTTTTAATACTTCATTAAGAAACGCAGATTTAACATCCAGCTGATACAAGTTCCATCTCTTCTGTGCAGCTAGAGCAATCAAGGTTCTAATGGTGTCTAACCTTGCCACTGGGGCAAAGGTTCATTGTAATCAATCCCAGGCTTTTGTGAGTAGCCTTTAGCCACCAATCGAGCCTTATTTTTCTGCACAGTACCATCTAGATTAAGTTTGGTCTTATAGACCCATTTGACACCAATGACAGGTTTATTAAACAGTCTCTCAACAAGCTGTCAAGTGTTATTCTTCTCTATCATTTCCAACTCAGCTTCCATTGCCTTTCTCCATGACTCATCTAGATTAGCTTCTTCAAAACTTTCAGGTTCCACAATGCACATATTGCACTGAGCCATGATTTCATTAACACTTCTCCATTTCTTTGGTGTGTGATCAATAGCTTGAGAATTTTCACTTATTCCTTCATCTTGTAGAGTAGTACCTTCATCTATTTGAGTTTGTGTATCCAAGCTTTGACTTGGTTCATTTTGTAGTGTGATTCCTTCATCCATTTGAGTTTGTGTATCCAAGTTTTGACTTGGATTACAAACTTGATTCTCAGTAGGCACAGGGACTGTCATCTCTCCTTCACTGGCATTCTCCCATTTCCATGAGCCATTCTCTTCAAACTGCACATATATGGACAAAATAACCTTTCTAGATTTTGGATCAAATAATCTGTACCCTTTTTCACAGATTATGTAACCCACAAAGATGCACTTGTGGCTGTTTTCTTCAAGTTTATGTCTGAGTGCTGAAGGGATGTGCATATGGCAAGGAGATCCAAAAATCTTCAAGTGTGCAATACCTGGTTTTCTGCCAGTATAAGCTTCAAATGGTGTTACCATCTTGAGAGACTTAGTGGGACATCTATTTAGTAGATAGACTGCAGTATTTACAGCTTCTGCCCAAAATTCATAAGGAATACCCTTCCCATGCAGCATAGATTTTGACATTTCCACTACTGTCCTGTTCTTTCTCTCAGCTACTCCATTTTGCTGAGGAGAGTATGCTATAGTCAGCTGCCTTTGAATTCTGAATTTATCACAAAACTTGTTAAATTCACTTGATAAAAACTCTCCACCCTTGTCACTCCTCAAGTCTTTTATCTTATATCCACTTTGCAGCTCAATCATAGCCTTGAACTTTCTAAAACATTCAAATGCACTTGACTTGTTTATGATGAAATACACCCATGACATTCTAGTACAATCATCTGTAAATAGCAAGAAATACCTATTTCCATAAATGGATTCAGTCTTCATTGGTCCACAAATATCTGTGTGAACCAATTCCAAAGGACTTGTAGCTCTCCAGGTGGACTCCAAGGGGAATGAGTCTCTGTGTTACTTTCCTAGCATGCAGCCTTCACATACTACTGAAATCTGCTCCAAATGAGGTAAGCCATGAACCATGCCTTGATTCTCAAGCATTTTTATGCTTTTTTCATTTAAGTGCCCCAATATCTTATGCAGGTCTGCAAGCAGTGTGTAACACTTGCCTTTAAGGCCAAATCACTTGTAGGCATCATTGTAAGAGGAAAACATCTATTATTTGTCATTTGAACTCGAACAATCAGATTGTTCAGTGACCGATCATCATAAATGTTCACCACATCCCCTCCAAACACAAAATAGTACCCATGCTCTATCATTTGTCCAACACTCAGCAGATTTTCTTCAAGACCCGGTGCAAGCATCACTTCTTGAATGTGCTTCCTACCCAACTTGGTTTCTATCACAAGAGTCCCTTTTCCTGCAACCGGAACTATTTCTCCAGTACCCATCTTTACTTTAGAAGTCAAATTTCTTTGAATATTGACTAACAAACTCTCATCACCTGTCATGTGGTTACTACAACCACTGTCAATGTACCAAGAGTGATTTACCTTCACATCTGTCACAGCATTGCATGCATAGAACAAGGTTCCAGTTTCTTCAACTTGATTTGCATAGTTCAATATGTGTACATTTTTATTTCCAAGACACTCCCTGAGCATATGTCCAAATTTCCCACACCCTTTGCATTTAGGCTTTCCTTCAAACCAACATTTGCCAAAATGCAATTTCTCATAGTGTTAACAAGCCGTTTTGTTCCCATCATTAGATTTCCAATTCTTCTGAGGTTTTTGATCTCCAGAAGAAACTCCACTCTTAGGATTTTTTTCCTCAATATTCAGACTAGTAAAAGCCTTTTCTGTAGAGTTCTCAGTGTGCCGATCCAATCTGAGCTCAAAGCTCTTCAGAGAAGCAACCACCTCTTGAATTTCAAGAGTCTCAAGATCCTTAGAATGTTCAATCACAGAGCAAATAGAATCATATGATTTTGGCAAACTAAACAGTAATTTCTGCACAACTCTCTCTAAGATAGTTCCTCACCATAACTCTTCATTTGATTCAATATATCAAACAATCTAGCAATATATACAGATAGGGATTCACTGTCTTTCATGAGAGTATATTCAAATTCTCTACGCAATCCTTGCAATTTTACATTTCGTACATGTTTATCTCATATGAATTCTAGCTTCAGAATGCCCCAAGCACCATTTGAGGTCTCCTCGTTCACAATTCTGGGGAAGAGCTAATCTGAGACAGCATTTTGGATCAACCCAAGTGCACGAGCATCCTTTATCAGAAGCTCAGCCATCGTAGACTTCTCAGCAACCTTAGTCTCTTCTATCTCCTTATCCTTCTTTGGATCTGAAGCATCGAAGCCATGTTCAATCAGATCCCACAATTCATGAGATTTCAGAATGGTTTTCATCCGAATGCTCCAGAACTCATAGTTTTCTCCATTGAAAAATGGTGTGTGAAGCTCAGTAGTGCCCGATCCTGCCATATTAGACATTGGATTCAAGAAATCACAGTTGCAACTGTCGAATGAGCTCAGACCCAGCTCAGATCGATTCCGACTCCCTGTTCACATATTCACGCCCAGCTCAAGCAATCGAACTAGGCTCCGAGGCCATGTTAAAATTCATTGTTTTCAGTGTTTTGGATGTTTGGGGGGAAGAAAGAAATCACAAAAACCAGATGTAGAAGAGAACGTTACTCTAAAAGAAAGCTGAAGATTATTTATATTTCAGTCCACTGTTCATGTATATTCATATGAGAGAGAGAAGAAAGCTGCTTCTCTAACTGATTTACATCAAAATTGAATCCTAGCCATTGCTTCTATCATCCTATGAGATGCTTACATTTGTCACTAGCTGGCACTAAAGTCTTAGGCTAAAAAGAGAATCCACTTGGACTATGATCCAATGGCTCACATTACATCAGAAAATTAAAAACTTATAAAATGAAATCAAAATAGACTTTGTGACTCTGGCTTCAAGGTTTTCAGCATAAGGGTTACACATCAACAAAGAAGTTATCAAGCAAGAGTGGCCATCTACCAAGTGCCAACCATGTGGATCTTGTCCAATGATTATTTACAAGGCAAGGTGTCATATGCCATGTACTCTACGGATGGGGCAAAGAAAGGTTTGGGAGAGGAAAATAAGAAGCACGGGGTATACGGGAAAGCTGGCAGACATCTTACATGCCCCTTTCTCTCCAGCTCTAAAGAAGCAATAGAGAGAATTACAAGCCAAGTTGGACACTGTTCTAGCATAGGAAGAAAGCTATTGGAAACAACAGTATCAGATTACATGGCTATGTGAAGGTGACAGTAATTCTAAGTTTTTCATCACCAAGCTTCAAAACGACAGAGACGGAACTTAATAAAAGGTTTGCGTGATATTGATAATGAGTGGTATGACACAGATGAGGGGATTGAACGTATTGTTTTGGATTATTTCCAACAATTGTTCGATTCATGAAGCTGTACTTTTGGGAAGGAACTTATGAATGAGTTATCTTGTCGTGTTACTCCAAACATGAATGCACAACTGGTGCAAGATTTCACAGGGGAGGAGATCAAAATGGACCTTTTCAAATACATCCATCAAAAGCCCTAGGACCCGACGACATCCCCCTTTTGTTTTACCAAAAGTATTAGCGTCTTATGGGGGAAGATCTCATAAGGGTTGTACAACAAGTTTTTCAATCTGAACAGGCATTAAGAAGCATCAACTCCACTTTTGTCACCTTAATCCCACAGTGAAAGACCCAAAGAAAATGACTCACCTATGACCTATCAGAGCAAAAGTGATGGCTAATAGGCTTAAGAAAATCATGGATAGAATTATTTCAGAAAGTAGAAGTGCCCGTACCAAGAAGTCTTATTTCAGACAACTCTATGGTGACTTTCTAGATTGCCCATTTTCTAAATCATAAAAGAAAAGGAAGGAATGGATGGCTAGCGCTAAAGCTTGATATGAATAAGGCCTACGACCGAGTTTAATGGAATTTCCTCGAGTGCATGATGCTGAGGCTTGGATTTGACTCTAGATGAATCACAAGGGTTATGGATTGTGGGCAAACTGTGTCTCATTCTTTCCTAATTAATGTTAGTGTATAAATTAGTGAACTGATTAGTAATTTGCTTTATGGGTTGGGCCTCAGCTCATAGGCTGAGTTATAAATATTTGAATTCTATCGGTTGGTTAAGTCTCGTAGGGCTTGGCAATGGACAAGTGTCCTAATCTAATGATATGTAATGGATGGCTGAGATTGAAGTTAGGAGTGTGTCTAACTCCATCTCTCCTCCAACGGTTATTTCATTGTGTGTGTGTGTGTGACTGAGCTAAGGTGCTCTAACAGATGGTGCCAAAATACACAGCAGAATACAGAGGAATTCATCAAATCATTTTCTCTGATTTATTTCCTCTCTTCTTCTCTCATATACTTTTTGATATTCTCTTCCATACCTGCTAGGATTCAATTTCTCTAACATGGCCTCAGAGCCAGGTTGGGTCTGAATTTTTGGGCGTCGTGTTGGTTAGGGTGGGCTCAAATTCACAGCAAAAGCTCATTGCAGTGATTCCGGTTCAGATCGGCGATCGAGTCTAACATGGCTGGATCTGGAGGAGGAGAACTCATAGCGCTAATCTTCAATGGCAAGAATTTTGATTTATGGCAAATCAAAATGAAGATCATTTTCTATTTGCACGAGCTGTGGGATCTTGTGGAAAATGGGTACAAAACTCCGACGACGAATGAGGATGAACTCACGGAAGCTGAGAGGAAGTTGCTGCGTGAGCATGTGGTTAAGGATGCTAGAGCATTGGGCATCATCCAAGGTGCCGTTTCAGACCAGATTTTTCCTAGAATCGCAACCCAGGAAAATGCAAAGGCTGCGTGGGGCATTCTGAAACAAGAATTTGTTGGTGATAAGCAAGTAAGATCTGTGAAACTTCAAGGTCTTAGGCGTGATTTTGAATATACTCGAATGAATGATAATGAATCTCTTTCTGGATATATTGCTAAGCTGTTTGATTTGATTAATCAAATGAGGAGCTATGGTGAGGATTTAAGCAATCAACAAGTTGTTTAGAAGCTCTTCATTAGCCTACCTAAATCATATGATAGTATTGCAGCTATGATAGAAAATACTAAAGATCTAGACACTATCGATGCTCAGGATGTGGTTGCAATCTTAAAGGTGAGCAGAGGCTTGATAGGCATGGTGACAATAACATGGAGAAAGCATTTGCTAGCTTCAACATTGGATCAAAACCAACTCAGTTTAATGGTCAAACAAGTAAATCTCAGAAAAATGTCAACAAGGCTAATGGGAGTAATAAGACTAATCCCCCTATGAAGAATGAGGCACACAACACTGGAAATAAATGCAAATTTTGTGATAAATTGCACTATGGGGAGTGTTGGGTTAAGAACAAAGTCAAGTGTCACAAGTGTGGCAAAATTGGGCATATTGAAAAATATTGTCATACAAACAAGGCTGTGCAGCAGTTGAACTTTACTAATCAGGTTGAAGAAACTGGAAATTTATTCTTTGCTAATCACTCTGGAGAAGTAAAGAAGATAGGTGATGAATGGTACATAGATAGTGGATGTAGCAATCGTATGACATCCAGGGAAGACTTGCTTGTAGACATTGACAAAAGAGTGAAAGCAAAAGTTCAAGTAGGCAATGAAGTTTTAGTTGAAGTGACAGGAAAAGGAACGCTGGTCATTGACACAATGAACGGAAGGAAACATATAAAGGAAGTCATGCTAGTACCTGGTCTAGCAGAGAATCTGCTCAGTGTAGGGCAGATGATTGAGCATGGTTATTTCCTTATATTTGGAGACTATAAGGTGGATATCTTTGATAATAGGCATCTGAGAAACTTAGTGGTCAGTGTGAAACATAAGGGAAACGGATGTTTTCCTTTAATCTTCAGCAATAACAAAGAGCTTGCCTTGAAAGCAAATGTGCAAGAATGTTCCAAAATATGGTACAAAAGGTTTGGGCATTTAAATTTCAGAAGTCTTAAGCTGCTGCAGAGTTAAGAGATGCCTGAAATCCAAAACATGATGCAGTGTGTCAAGGAGGTGTATTTGGAAAAACTCATAGGGAGGTATTTCCTAAATAACCAAAATGGAGAGCATAGGAGCCACTAGAACTAATTCATTCAAACTTGTGTGGCCCTATGCAAACACCATGTATGAGTGGAAATAGATACTTCATCACATTTATAGATGATTATTCAATAATGTGCTGGGTTTATTTCTTAAGAAACAAGTCTGAGACGTTCCATGTGTTCAAAAAGTTCAAAGCAATGGTGGAGCTTCAATGTGGATACCATGTAAAGAAGCTAAGAACAGATAGGGGAGGAGAGTATATGTCAACAGATTTTGTAAAGTTTTGTGAAGATTTGGGGATCGAAAGGCAGCTCACTATTGCATACTCTCCACAACAGAATGGTGTGGCAGAAAGGAAAAATAGGACTGTTGTGGAAATGGCAAAATGCATGATTCATGAGAAGGAGCTTCCATATAGTCTTTGGTGTGAAGCGGTGAACACATCAGTGTATCTGCGTAATAGAAGTCCTACCAAAGCTGTGGAGAATTTTACACCTTTTGAGAGGTTTAGTGGAAGAAAACCTGAAATCAAACATCTAAAAGTGTTTGGTTCTGTGTGTTATCCTCTCATTCCAAGACATTTGAGGCACAAATTGGTAGCAACAAGTGCCATAGGAGTTTTTATTGCATATGGTGCATGTGAGAAGGGATACAGGATATTGAATCCTGCAACTCAGAAGGTTTTGCTCTCTAGAGATGTAATTTTTGATGAAAATGGCAAATGGGACTGGGAGAAACATAAAGTGAAAGAAGACTGCATTCCACTACCTGCAGATGAAATTTCAGACATGAGAACAACAGAAGCAGAGACTGCACCTTAAGAGCAAGTCATAGTTGATGGTTCTCAAGTTGAAATTGAAAGTCCTCTAGCTACTGAAGGTGGTGAATCAAGCAAATCACAGCTTGCATCTCAATATGATGACACACCATTGAGGTATAGAAACTTGAGCGAGATTTATGAGAGATGTCATTTATGTATAGTTGAGCCTGAAAACTTTGGTGAAGCTGCACAGGATGAAGCATGGAAGAAGGCAATGGAAAATGAGATGAGCATGATTGAGAAAAATCAGACATGGGAGTTGGTAAGTAGACCTTCCAATAAACCTGTAATTGGAGGAAAATGGGTGTACAAGACTAAGTTGAACTTAGATGGCTCAGTCCAAAAGAATAAAGCCAGACTAGTTGCAAAGGGCTATGCACAAAAGCCTGGAATAGACTATAATGAAACCTTAGCACCAGTGGCAAGGTTGGATACCATATGAACCCTTATTGCATTGGCTGCAAAGAACAGTTGGAAACTGTATCAGTTAGATGTAAAATCAGCTTTCTTGAATGAAGTACTTAAAGAGGAGGTGTATGTGGATCATC